GAAAAAAAAATGATGTAGGGAAAAATGTGTTTTTGTATACGGAAATAAATGGGTGGCAAGGGTGTTAAAAACCCGCCATTCCGCTTCCGGTCCGCCACCTAGGTATTCGCTTGCGCCGACTGGGACGACTGGAAGGATGTGAGGAGGCCTAGCTAGCTAAGCGAGCCGACGATGTACCTACCACTTATCAAACAACAAACTATCAATATAAGTAAGAGAGAAAAACAAATCTGTATATGCTTTAAGAACGTTGCATTACAAACGTGGATTGGGAATGTAAAGATGTATTTATTTGTGGTGATCGAATGCGTTAGAATGCAGCGAAAAAAAAATATAGCTAGAGACTGTCCTAAATGATTGAATTTTTTACGTGTCTGCTTCGGATATTTGAATAACTACAGCCTTTATAATAATAATAAAAAAGAACATCCCATACATCGAAAATAAACGATCTAATCTATTCTATCGCTAAGAGTTGTCAATTACTAAATAAAAGTTGGTAGTAACGCACGTAATTCTTTTGCTGGGTTAGAATAAAAGTCCGATTTTCGCGCTCCTCGCTTATTATTCTATTCTAGTATTGACACAAGCAATTCTGAAATAGACGCAATCAACAACCATCGTACAGGACCATTTTCTTACTACTTTAACCCTAGCACAGCACAATCAAGGAATAGCATTTTTTTTTAATTGAAATTTGATTTGTTGATTGATATCAAAATCAATACGGTGCATCTGTCTATGCAGATTTAATTACGATATAATAATTGGTTGGTTTTCTATTTTTTATAGAGGAGCGAATTTTACTGTCCCGCCGTGGTGGCAAGTCGGTCAATTCTTTCGAATTGGATTTAGGGGAACCGGCGATTATGTGTCTACCGTCTGTTTACTAAGCAGATTTAAGCTTGACGGTTTCAATCGATTAGTTCCCCGAGGATAGAATTATTAAATACCGGCTGTGGGGGGGGTTCTTCAAAGTGTTGACCCTTGGTTAAGTATCGTTCGATGGAGGCGTAGAAGTCCTTCCTTTTTTTTCCGCAGAAATTACTTAGGATAAGACAGGAACTGAGGGGGGGATCTTGCAGCTAGCTGGAGGATCCGATTGTTCTTGTTTCCGTTGTTTCGCTTGGTGAGCTCAAAACTGACTGGCGACCAGATGCTCGACTGAGAGCTTTGGGAAAGGGCGTGAGGTAGGGGAGCTGGTCTTGCCTGGTACAAGGCGGCGACGACTCCTGGGGCGCTCTATGTTATTGGAGGGAGACAGACATCTTGGGGGAGCTATGGTGCGATAACACGGGTAGTTTTGATAATGTATGTGTGTATGTATGTATGTATGTATGGCAGAAGAATGGATATTAAGAACATTACGAGTGTGTAGATAGAGGAGCGGTAACAGATGGGATGAACCAAGTGTGGATAAGTAAGCATACGGCCAAGTGATTGAGTGATAGAGTAACTAAGAGGGTGGTCTGAAATATTAATATCGATAGCAGTACTAGCAGTAGTAATAATCTAGCTATTCAAGACGCATATAGCGGTAGGGCAGACCAAGAAAAGAAGATATCGATAGCAGCGTCGTTTCCCCCAATTACAACGGCGTGCTAATTTGGTCAACCCGAAATCGATCAAGACCCAAAAGCAGAGTATTGCGTCGCTCCAGGGGTCACACGGTAAGTCAGACGTCTCCTCGACAAGCTCCGAATCATAGAGTTGAGCCCTTACCGACCTCGTCTTCATCCTATCACAGCCTGTTCAGACGGCACTGCAAACAAGCTTGTAGGTGACATCGGGTACATCGATCAATATAAAAGGGTAAAATATGTCGGCACACTTCACACTCATATCGGCCGCGAACGCGGTTCCAAGAACCACGAGCACAGATATCGTGTGTATCAACGAGCTCTTGCGCCACAGCGGCGATAAGTACCTACTTGTAGTTGCTCGGCAGGTTGGTGGGCCGGGGCAGGCTGGCGTGCAACGACCGCATTGGCTCGATCGTACAACCTGTTTTCGTCCCATTGCGCGCAAGGGCAGGTTTTCCAGGGTTCGCCACATCGGGAGCAGAATTCGGCTTTGCACGTACACCTGAGCTAGAAGTCAGTATATTGAGCTATTGGAGGAAGACAATCCGAGATACGAACGTCGTATGGTTGCAGCCAGTATCAAGTTCAACTACGCGTTGGCATTTGTAGCATCTCTGCCACTCGTTCTCCTTGGCCGTCTCAAGGTCCAATTGCAATGCTGTATCTTCGGGCCAGTCTCCCCTGTGAGCAGCAAGCTTACAGATGGTACAGGTAATTGTCCGATACGTTTGACAGTAGGCCCGCTGTTCAAGGATGTGCTCCTTCTGGATGAACGATGAACAGACAGGGTTAGAGCAGTATATTCTATTCGGGGTGTCAAATTCGAGCTTCTTGGCCTCATACTGCTGCACCATGTCGGTGCTAAGGTATATTCGAACGTTGCCACAGGGAGTAATGGGCTCTCGACAACAGCGGGGAGGGAACAAAGTGTCTTCTGTCATAGAAGCTTTGAGTAGACCTTGAAGACAGTCACCGCAATACTCGTGACCGCAAGGAGACCGTCCCAATTCGCAGGAGACAAACTGCTCCTGGCAGGCGGTACATCTTCGTCGAGGAGCTGCGGGCATTCTCGAAGCTGCACACAGAGAAGACTCCGCCTCTAGAGAAGGTATCAGTACTTTTCATTGTCCTTCTAATTTCAAACTTACGGGAGCTTCCGGTCGGTCTATACATATCAAATGGAATCGATTTATCATCAAGGGACGGAACCTCTCCAGCTGCACACCTATGCAGAGCATCTAGTCTCTCCAAAACCTCATCCAGATCTTCCTCCTCCACAATTCCCTGTGCTACGGCCAGCGGTGCCGTCACCTCGCTAACCATGACAGAGATCTGCCGATCGTGATTGGCACGCTCCTCCTCCACGAGTGATATTGCAACTTCGTGGCCATCGGTACGGCATGCTTCAGACAGACTCTTCGTCATCTAGTGGTCGGCGATAATCCTCGCATTGCGTTCCAAATCCTCCCTGTAGAACTAGAGGGCTAGCTGGGTATCAGAGACTATACCCTCACGTTCCTTACCGTTACGGCCAGACGAAGCGAGAATTTCTTCGCTATCTTCGATCTGGAGCTCAAGTATCAGCGCAGCGGTAGCCGGATCCACGCCGCCGAGGATATCCATAGAGAAGTCTGTGGGGTGACTACCGCTCCGAAAAGAGCCGCGATCGTTGGCGAATTGCTTGCTCGATATCGGAGCTTCTCACCCAGATGCCATATTATCTTGAGGCCGCAGTTTGGGAGGGGAATTGAGTCTGCCAGATCTGCAACGCCATGTGAAATCAAATGGCTCGTGCACACTAAATGATACGGAGAATCAAGAGTGTAGAAGGTATTGATTCCAGCATGAGAGTGCTAGATGCCATATACCTAGTAGTACGTGGGAATAGCCAAGAGGCTAATAATTCCTACTCCGGAATGAGGGTGGAACCCAATATTCCAACACTGTAAAATATCTCTCCACTCTAATAAGCATCGAGGGAGTTTAAAGAGCAAAGGTAGGTACCACCAACCGAGCCAGAGCTGCAGCAAGCAAGATCGGTAATTTGAACAATCACGGAATCTGGTATTAGATAATAGGTATCTCATATCATCCGTGAAACAAATGAACAAGCAGATGTACAGATACCCTTCCAATTGCAGAGCGGGGCCGACATTCTCACATCTTGCCTCTATGCGTTGCTTTAAGAAGCCGAGGAAGGAGGCCGAATCAAGGTGAGAAGACAAACACGGGCGCCAAAGATCCTAAAATTTCGGAGACAGCTTTGAAAATAAGGCAAGAAGAAGAAAGAAAGAAAGAAATAAACGCAAGTGTCCGCGAATGGCAGGCTCTTCTCGTCAAGCTTGAAAATCTCATGCTCATAACAATGTATTTAGATATTCATCCGTTTTTCTCTCCATCTTGTTCTTGGAATATGAAAGCCTGTCGTCAGATACCTTGAGACGGTTGCAAGCAAATGAAAGATTGATAGCTCTATTCAGAGATAGAATAAGCTTCTCGATGGTAGGATGAATAGGTTGTGTATATATAGGAAACTGCTTCAGCAAAAACATATTCTAGGGAAGCGTAGTAGGCACGTCTAAATTTGGACAGAAAGAAGGCTCATCTTGAGACTTGAAGAGAAAGGGTCCATTGTAGATGCCTATCGCAACGCAATCGTCTCTGCATCCAGCGTCTCAGCAGCGTGAAAGATCCCAGGTTGGCAATTCCAGTCGTTTGGACAGTCCCTAAACGCCTTCACCCAAACGCCCATCAAGTCGCTCTTCGCAGGCGCCCCCAAACCCCAAACCCCTAAACCACACCTAATGCCGCCGCACTCCAATACGCCAGGTCTTGCTGCCTCTCTCTGTAGCCCACCAGCCGACCACGCACATGTGGACAACCATTTCCCCCAAGATCCCAGTACTCTCACATCTCCCCCAACCCTCCCTTCAACCAAACTTCTTGGTCCCCCCCTTCCGCGCCTCAACCTCATTCCCCTTCTTATCCTTCCCATCCTTCGCATCCTTATTCTTCTTCCCGCCCTTCAGCAGCTCCAGATGTCCCGCCTTCGCGCCGAGCGTGCGCTCCGTCATGGCCGTCAGACCCGCCGAGTGTTTCTACGGCGATAATGTCATCATCAGTCCCAAAAAATTCCCTTGCCGTGCTTCCCCACTCTCAGTGAAGAGGCGGAACAAAAAAAAAAAAAAAAAAAACCCGAGAAAACTCCTTCCCCCCTACCTCCCCCCTCCCAAAAATAAAATGAAGGCGACAAAAGAATGGAGACAATTTTTTCCTTCCGAATCACAGGAGAACAAGAAAAAACAAACCTTCGTCATCTTCGCATTCCGTACCAGCACCTGCTTCTTCGGCGCAATCGTCCTCGCCCCCCTCTTCGGCCCCAGCACAGCCTGTCGCCGACCAGACTCCCTCGCCGTGGCCGTCGTCAGCTTCTTCGACTTGAGCGTTCCCTGCACCATTTCGAACTTGATTGTCGCTATTGTTTTTTCCGCCTGCCTTTCCCTTCCCTTCCTTTCCCTTCCTTTGCTCAGTCAGGTATCCTATCCTACGCTCGGTGTGCGGAATGTGGGATTCGCAATCGGTGGTTTCTGGTGTCCTGATGCTTTGTTCGTCCGACCGTTCGTTCGTCCGTTCGTTCGTTCAGAGTCTCTAACTTCCGAACGAAGAGCTTTTGTATGTAATCGCAGAGGGGGAAAACGTAAGAAGGTATGGACGTAAGTAAGCAAATGCAAAGCGGCCGCTAGTGTCAAATCCTCCGTAGGGTTACCGTACGGTACGGAGTTACTCCGAAAGAACCCCCTCCTCCTCTCCTCTCCTCCGTATCTACGTTGTAACCTATCTTCTAAACTCCATAAAGAAAAATCTATTCAGCAGACGAACTCTACCCTACCCTATTTCAACACCCACCCACTCAATCACAGGCACCGAATACACAATACATGTGGTCCATTTCCAAAGCCTACAACAACCCATCCTCCGTATTCCCTTTAAACATAAACACAACTATATCTCCAATCCTTAATACTACCTCGCAGAATCAGACAGGATTACTAACTAGTAGTAAAAGGCGGACGAAACATTTGAATTTCTACATAGCTATATACATACAGATAAGTAGACAGACAAATCACACCCTCACACCCTCACACCCAGAACAGAAGAACGATCAAGAAATACCAGCTTATAAAAGTGTGCTTATCTCATATCTTAAATTCCGGAAACTCATCACTCGTCTGGAGGAGAGCTACCTAGCTAGCCTTGCGTGATACATACATACATAAAATAATAACAGCAACAGCAATAACAAAATGCAGCAGCAAAACACAGCTTTCATATCATATCGTTTCGTCAATCCCCGCATCATTTCTAATAACCCACCCCCAAGTCTTCTCACGATTCAAGTAATCGTTTTTGGCGGATCAACCCCTCCATCGTCCAATTAAGTGCCAAGAATCCCCCAGATGCAAATTCATATGTTCTGTCATCGTAATCTCGTGGGTGCTCTAGAACTTCGTCCAAGTCGTGCCATCGTAAAAAGCAGCTCTCGCTCGTAAATGTAAAAGTGGGAAGGGACCCCACGCTCATCACTCTAGTCTTCCTCTCCCGCCCAAGCAAAACATACAGGTATAAATCAACAAAACCCGCAAGATCGGGAACGCTCTAGCTGCCCCGGGTTATTCTTTTTTTTTTTTTTTTTCGTTGTTGGTAGTACAGTCTCCCACGCGTGTCATGAGAGGACGAGGGCCACCGCCGAGACCGTTGATCAAGCAGCAGTTGCTCTGCGCCTCAAGACATCGTCCACTCCATTCTTGACGCTCTTAGGGCCACTGATGGAAGCGCGCAGTTTTTCACTCCGCTGCACTCTTCTCTTCTCTCGAATTTTATTCCTCATCCCGCTCCAGCCCACGTACTCGACTCGAAGACCGAGACCCGGGATTGTGTGTACTCGTCCACCGTTACCGTCTTTGAATCCATAGCCAAAACTCCCCGGCGGGGGTCCGGTTACAGGGATGCGGTCTTCCTTGTACACAGTCCTGTGGTTACCGTCTCTCCTCAAAGACGTATTGCTCCTCTGCTTGACCACCTTCATGCTTCCACTAATCGTCCTTCTCATAGTCCTACGATCTGTAGCATGCGGCCGCGTATCATGGTAACGGTCTTCCTCGATAGGCAAAATTGCAAAAGTACGCTTGAGCTTTTGACTCAGGGTACGTTGCGAAGGCGACGGTCTATTGTCTATCGGCGGGTATCCGTAATCCTCGTCCTCGAAGTAACGCTCACGTTCAAGATCGTCCCAAAAATGGGATGGCCTCCAGAAGGGATGTAATTTACCCGCATCTGCTGGCCGGTCGTCTACAGAAGGATACAGTGTCACAAGGTTCGCTCGCTCTTTCGACGTCTGAGTCGACATATCTGAAACATTCCTACGGCCTCCGCTCAGAGAAAATGTGCGTTTCAAAAGGCCGGCAGTCGGCACTAAAGCTGCTGACTTTCGTCGATTACTGAAAGCACGGCGCAACAATGAAATCGTCCGTTTCGATTTGTCGTCCGCGCTCACAGGTCGCTCGTCCATATCAAAATCCAGCTGGCGATCCTCTTCCTGCCAAGGAGCGAGACCTGCAGGCGTAGGTGGAATGAAATTGATTGTAGGGGGTTCCGGAGGATCACGAGGGTTTCTGAGCGGAGATTCTACCTCGTCCATGGGATGGGATGGCTGTGGTGGCGTCACAGCACCCGTGACTAGATTCTCGTTGACTGACATCTCTGCTGGAGGAGTATCGGAAATGTTCAGTTGCTTTGGGGTAGACGGAGAGTCTTCAGAAGAGGGTCTATGCTGCACAACTAGGACCGATCTGTTCTGGTGAGAGAACAGAGTCACTGCCATAGCTTCCGAGACTTCTGCTGAAGTCCCAGCAGTTTCATAAGATGTCTGAGAGAACGGGGTTGCTTGCGCAGACAGTCGTTTGCCAAAAAATGGATCCCCATTGTGATCTACGTTCAAAAGATTGCTATGAGTTTCCGTTTCTCTCTCAGTCTCGACAGGAGGCTGCAATAGCTCAGGATTGACGAAAGCCATAGTTTCTTGCTTCTGTTTTAGAATCATGTTATGGGCATTGAGACTCTCTGCGGTAAGCGACCCGGCTCTCGAAGTATTTCGACTTGTCGGGGCCGAGAGTGAAGATTGTCTAGCAGGGATGCTGGGTGGAAAGTCAATTGTCCGTATAGAATGGCCAGACCCAGCCGAGTCCGACATGGTACGATTTCGAGATGGGCGCATGTCGAAGTACCCAGGCTCATTGTATTTCGACGGTTGGATCCTTGGTGCCGCATGTAGCGAATTGCTCCTCTTCGTCTTCTTGCTGCTGGTAGACCTCAGAGTTGGCGGCCTTGTCTTGCTAGATGAACGACGATCCGGAATCACTACTACTGGGATACCCCCATTCCTCGTGACTTCTTTTCGAGATCGACCACCAGATGACGTTGTATTAGAAGTGGTGTTAGACGCCAGGCTCCGGTGCCTTCGCTCTGGGGTCCTGGCAGCTGCGTGGTGAAGACGATGCCGAGGATCATTCGATATCACCGACTCTGGCGCTGAGCTCCTTCCTGACTGATCAGAGCTAAAGTCTCTCAGCCCTAGACGCTTCTTGGAGTGCCGGAGGGTTTTCCTCCGAAGTGGAGGGCCATCAATAACCATCGCCTCAACCACTGCCGAAGAAACCGAATTGCCAGACATGGTTGAGGTTCGGCGCACGTCTGGTGATTGGGGCGATTCTGGGTCTGCCACACACGCTGGCCAGGCGATACGTTCAGCGAAATTCTCGGTTGAGCTTCGATCGGCTGAGTCTCTGATTAATCGGTGCCTAGCAATCCTCTCTTGCAGAGGGAGGCCTCGGACGACTCTTGTAGCACTAGTTAGTGATACGGTGTCGTCTTCTACTACTTCTTCCGTGGCTTCGTCTACAAACAAATGTAGCGTTTCTGGATGCGCAGGTGGTCTTTTGCAAACTGTCACATTCCTTAGGAGATTGTCGTCCCATTCCCGCTCCACTTCACTCTCCTCTCCGCCTGCAGCCCATTCTCCATCAAAGACAACGGATTCTCCTCTCCTCAGCCTAGGCGTCGTGGTTCGTTCGTTGTCCGATTCCAGGCCTAGCCCTAATCCAACTTCCTTGCGTTTTCTGATTTTCCGGAGTAATTGTGGTACTTCCGCTGCGGACGTTCGCGCAGAGTTTAGAGCGGGTCTCACAGTAGAGGCTTGATCCTCGTCGGAAGAGTATGGGGTTTCTCGAGCAGTTTTGAATGAATCAGTACGCGATGAAGGGTATCGGTCGCTGGTTGGAGGCCGAAACGCCAGTGGCATCGCCCGAGGAGGCGTCACATCTGGAGTTGGCGGGCTTTGCGAATGGTGGGGAGTAGTTGGTGTGGAGGGCGCATCAACGCTGGCGGTGGACGTAGTCTTAAATTTGGGAGCTGGGGCAAGTGTAGGATTGCCTCTTGAGGACTGTCGGGAGTGGTTTGGGGGCGTTGGAGGAGTTGGAGGTAAGACCGTCGCCCCAATCCTTCTGGATGCATGCTTTAACCGTGGAGGACTCGAGCTATCTGAGCCGGTGGAAGAGGAGGTTTGTGTTTCGATCACTAAGTCGCGCGGCTTTGGCGGAGGGGTCGAAGGATAGTACAAAGGCTCTCGAGGATGTGGCAGTATCTTGTGCTTTTTGAGTAGCATCGTTCCAGCGCTATGAGCCATGTTCGGAGGAGCATCGTAGGAGCTGCGCAGCTCGCGGGCCGGCATCCTGAGCCAGTTTGTCTGGGTGAGGAGCATTCACAGGGGGGTGGATGTTGGATCTGCCCTGGGGAAAGGACGGGAAGGATAGTAGGTAGATAAGAAAAGCCAGTATCCGTATCCCTAGGTCAGTTGCGTCGAGGTCTGGTCTGTCTCAGTCTCAGGAGGGCATCACAGATCATCTTGCGGCAGGATGCATGTTATCAACAGGCGTTGTGGCTCGTGGGTCGCGGATCGCAGATCGCGGGGGCGATGTTTGATGTCGCGATTGGATTGCAGCAAAGTGGTGGGAGTGTGCAAGGAGAGTCGTTGAGATTTGTGAACAGAGTTCGTGTTAAATGTAGTCTATGTAGATTCAGACTTGAGATGAGCGACACGGGGGAAAGGCGCACTGGGCGGTCGATGTTTGGTCTGGGCGGCGGCACTCTACTAAGGGGAAGTCGGATATCAGAGGGGGTGCATACGTAGATAGATAGTATATATATCAAAATATTTATATATATCACAACATATATATATATATATATATCATATCACAATATACATATAACCGGTACCCTATACATACATACGAAGTACATGCATACCATACATGCACGCTCGCACGCACTGCCGGGTTTGTGCGATTCATGTCTCGAAGAACAAAGGGGTTGGGGTTGATATATGATATTTACTTCACAGTTCACAGATGCAGTGCAAAGTTATCCGTATTCGACCGGCGCAAAAGAAGGGAGGAAAAGAAGTAAACATCCATCCATAGATCCATCCATACATCCCCGAATCAACGGCGGCGAGGGCTTTCAGTTGCAGATGCACCCTCTCTCGAGCGGCGAATCGGCGAATCGGCAGCTCTTCATACATACATACATACATACATACATACAACTGCATAGGTAGATCTGCAGACAGCCACCCTACCTCCCAGGTTTGACAACTAACTGAGTTGGGAGGTAAGGTGGGTGGTATACAGAGTCAAGAAGTAAATACCTGCATGGCCCGGGCGTGATGAAAGATGAAAGCCACCGATGCGATGCATCGATAGGGGATGGAGTTGCAGTATCTTCCGTCTATACCCGTTGCTCTCGGTCAGCTTGATTTCAGTTTTCCATTGACCTTGCCTTTGAGTATCAAGGGATAGAATGAGATCGCGGAAGATCAAGGACCATCATATATCAGAGTTTGAGGGGGCAATTCCTTGTGGTAACATAACAAGAAGCAATGGGGGAGCCTTGAGCCTTGGGAATCGCCGAGTTCGGCATCGGGGGTCTTCGGCGTCTTCGTTCCCTTTCTCCAGATCTCCTGGCAATGACAATGCAGTAGAATAGTTGTAATACGGAGGAACGCACACCGGTAATACATGCAGGTTCTGTTCCTCAGAGACCACCACATGTAGTAAAGTTGCCTTCGAGCTTCTCCGCTTGAACAAGTCATGTGACTCTATCATATGATCGAAGTCATATGATCAGATCACACGTAATCCCGCCAAGGAAAACCAACTACTATACTGGCTCGGATTATTTCGAACCACGGAACCTCGAGGCCCACTATCACGACTTCACCAAGCTCCAGACTCCCTCTGCCCGGTCACCGGTGTCAACAATCCAGAGTTCGAATTCTCGGACTCTTGGTGCCAATAAAAACTAAGCAAAAGTTCGCCCCGAACGTCGGTGATCAGAAGGCAGTTCTGATCTCACCACTGAGAGCGGCGCCTGCGCCTCCTGTCACCTGCACCACCCAGAATTGGCACCTCAAATCACTCAGCCCGCTCGATCTTCGAGTGGTGTGATGTGATGTGATGCGGTGCTGTGTTTTCTGGTGCCGCATACTCCGTATGATCTTTCTCTCGGTTTTTTGCTTCTCTCGTTTCTCGTCCCCGTTGTCTTTTCATCTGTTTTTAAAGTGCAAGTCTATCCCATTCACTCCTCAAGGACATCGCTTTTCATCGTGATACCCTCTTGATATTGTATAAGACTCGGGCTTAACGGCCTCGTACCCTGCCGGAAGATACCAATATCCCCAAGTCTATCCGGACTCAAGGTTCTGGCACTACTGGTCCCTGAACGCGCATCAACGAAATGGCTTTCCTGACTTCATACCCGCCGTTCCCCGTCACTGGTGTTCCCCGCCTATCCTTCTTCACACAGACGACCACATCTGCAATCTTGACGCCTACTCAAACAGCCATCTTCCACGAGAGTGACTCTAGCACGTCTACCTCATCCTCCGAAAGCTGGGAGTCCTCACCCACCGCAAGCGGAAGTCCGGACAGCAGCAAGGATGCTTTTCTCGACAATCTTGATAGTGGCAAAAAGGCTGCCATAGGTGTTGGCATTGGTGTATTTGTACTTCTGATCTTCCTGGTATCGGTGTGGTACTGCTGTGGCGGCTGTGGTTTTCGTGCGAGACGCAGGAAACGTCTCCAAAGAGCCACGCAAGTGCTTCCTTCTGTCCCCGCCACCCATCTTCCAGCGGTTTTGGGTAGCATGCAGAGTGTCGATATCGCAGTTCCACGTACTGGAGAAGCCCCTCCGCCTGTGTACGAAGTGGCTATCCCTCCTCAACACCGATATGTGGCTGGCGGAGCAACACATATTACGGAAGAAGAAGAGGGTATAATCTCGGACGGCAAGATGCCCTTGAGCGAGATCCCATTTGAGGATGTGGTGCTTGATCACCCGCCCTCAGAGGGATCGTCGAGGAGTTTTAGCGAAAGACATTATGGGCTGGGAGGAGACACAACTGGGCATACAAACTCTTGAGACTTGCCCGGAGAGGGGAAGATGTTCGTTAAGAGGAGAGGGAAATGGTTGAGGAGGCGAGATATGACGCGGCGCACACGCGGCCCACTCGTCCTGAACACCGTGTCAATGGGGTCGGACAATGTTCAATAAGCATCGCGATGGCCTCACTGGCCAAGGATACACTGTTCAGCTTGACTGGGCGAGGGAATTGATACAACGAAGATCGCCGTATGCAGAAGCCATGAAGAGTTGACTTGCCAATTGGAGAAGAGAGTTAGGACAAATGAAAGCTTCCAATATGAAGCTGATGGTCGAGGACACACAAACCTACCGTCATAAGCCGCTGGGATGGATCTCACATATACGGATAAGGTCGGTCATTAATCGCTTTCCAATAGTCAACGCCGACGAACTCTTTGCATTCAGTGTGTTGCAATACTCCCGCCTGCCTTTTACTAGTCTAAAAAATTCATATGTACGCTGCCGCCAGCTCAAGCGAACGCTCCCCCCAGTCCCCCCTCTCCCCCTTCAGAATCATCTGATATTAGCTCTTTCGTTCACCCCGCGGACTTGTTTGTTTTTCCCGACCCCGTTCCATCCCATTCCAATTCAAATCTCACCCGCTCCTCACAAGTCTCAGGATGGATGGGCAGCTAGGCAGCTAGTTTTACACCCCGCCTCCCCCGCGCGCCACCGTGGAAGCGAAGCGAAGCGGGATTATAACATCTATATACATACATAGATATATACATTGTGTATATACATTGTGTATATACTTATAATAAAACATATATGAATATATATGAATACCACCCCCAGCAAGCAGCAAGCAGCCTACAGACCAAGCAGCAGCAGCGAGATATGCTACATACGCTCGCGGATCGAGGTTGCGGATGTTGTTCTGCTTTGCCTTGGCTTTGGTCTTGGTTTGATTTGAAGGCGGGACGGGGGTTGGGTATGCGTGCGGTGTTTGGGTAGGGAGGGAGGGAGGGGGGGGGGGAGAAGGAAGTATTCGCGAACTTGCTGCTTGAAGACCTTTTTTATCGAGGTCGATTTTTGGGAAATGGGGTTTGGGATTTGGGGTTTGGGGTTTGGGCTTGGTCGGGTTGTGGATTGGATTAGGAGGGTCTGGGTAGCTTGGACGGAGAGATGGACGGAAGGATTTGACTGGTGGTGGTATAAGTAGATTGGGACTTGTAATGGAGGAGATGTAGTATGCTGTTGGAGATGAGGGGGGTGGGGCGTTAAAGCGCTCTCGAGCGAGGCAGAAGTGCCGCGTTCTATTGTATGTAGTCTGTAGATGTCGATTCGAGTGTTCAAAGTTCCTTTCTGGATGAAGCGCGCTGCGACAATGCATAGTTATTCATTACGGAGTGATGATGGGGAAGTCCTTGGGGAAGAGCCTGGATTCATCGAGCCCCGCGAGTAAAGTAAACCAAGCTCCCAAGAATCTTCGACTTCTCAATGTCCCTAGCATATCCATATCACAAATTTTCTCAGATGTTACTGTGCTATCTGTTGGAGAACGCTGCTTCGAAACTATACTGCGATACATCGTCAAGCCCCTGATCGGCTCGGACGTTAGGTCGCATCACATCAGCGAAGTCTTCATCTAAATTGAGTTAGCAGACGTCCGCAATCATCAACGCCTATCAAATCAAATCCCTCACCCATTTCAGAATTAACACCTCCAATGATAAATATACGGAATTTCTTTATTAAAGCTTTTAATTTCCGCGAGTCTGTGTCATTATGGGCCAAATTACTTCACCCAAGACGGTAGGTGTGTATGTATGATTTAGGTCCCTCAATAACTGTGATAGCAACCTCTTTTTCTTATCCTCGTTCAAATTTAGGATGACCTCAGTTCTCTCGCAAAATCCTTGCGGCTTTTGTCCATATCAAGTGCCCTCTTCTGATTATCTCATCCTGTTCTTCATCATCGACTTCTAGGCTGTCGTGGCTGCCAGTCTGGCGCGGCGAATTTCTCGACTTGTCATCGCTCTTGGACACGTCAAGAGACATTTTAAATCCAGAGGCCGGCCGCTTTCTTCGGTACCGGTTCCGACTACGACCACTTCTATCCTGTCGTGGTCCTTGCGGCGATTGAAGATTGAAATTGACTTTACCTATCTATTGTGCCTCTCTATTGTGGAGGCTAATCTGGACCTGTCTGCTCTAGAGGCTGTTTGGCTCGCATACTTTCTAAAGAATGCGCCACAGATAAAAAGCTCGCACTGCATTAAAGAATGCAAGAGTGCGTATTCGAGCATTGCTGTTCGTAGCTCCGGGGTTTCGAGAGGAACTACCAGCCTTCCGTGGAAGTATAGCTTCCCGTGCGTGAGATCGTATTCCAAGTCTAGCTCTACGCCATCGCGCAGTTCTTGCAGCTCCGGAGCTTCTTTGTTGGCCTGGAGCACCTTTTCGGTGATATCTTAGCCGTATATATCGTAGGCTACCTGGGATGTCGGGTCGGGAGGCTCTCCTATTAGTTCTTACAGCCCAGGTACAACTGGGATGTTCGTTTTCGTATTCGCTTATCTCACACGTGATGCAGTTTTTATTTACTCCCACTGGAATTGAAGGTGAACGTCTCTGATACCGAGAACAAGGCTCAGGGGAATAATAGTACGTAAGGGTCCGATGTGGCTTGTTCTTTGGGTTTGGGAAACCACTCGCCTATTTGCCCTTTATGTTTCGGCTTGGTTCTCTTGTGGGTCGCGAAGAACCTCGAAGAGGCCGGTGGGTAAATGGAATGGATCGGTTCCGAAGATTTCTCGGCGTATTTAATATCTTGCGGAATTTTCTCCCTGTATCTATCTTCCATTTCCATGGATTTAGGAAGAGCTTGAGGTGGGGGGGGATCCAGGCCGTAGAATAGGCCCGGTGCTGGCGAGGCAGAGAACAAAAAAGCTCTTGAAGGAATTCACAGATACATCGAACGGAAGTGGCTGGTGACCCCTAGCCCCAGCAAGCGACTTCACAACAATAGGAACACAGCTCAGAGTTGAACTGATGTCGTAGGTATTGTCGTTCATCAACGCATCCGAGTCCCTAATCTCGCTAGTGTCTTGCAAATTCTGTGGCTACAAAACGGCCAACCTCCTCCCTCTTCTCCACACTCTTCCTCAAATTTCATTCATCAACCCTCGAGTATCACCACCACAATGTCGATGCAACAGGCTGAAGACTACGAGGCCATGTGCCTTCAAGCAGAGGGCATCGAGAACGTCACCAGTCGGGTGTTTATCTACGACCTTCCAGCGGAGTTCAAGAAGCAGCTGCCAGACGCCCGCTTTCGGGCAGCAGCATGTGTGAAGGGATGGATCTTTCACGTCAACGTGCAAGGTAAGTGTTCATATCCTCACCGAATCAGTATACAATCCTTACCGTATCCAAGGACAAGCAAACATCCGACAATCCTTTCACTCCGAAGTCTACCCCTCCAGCGATTACCTTCTTGCAGGCCCGTGTCGGAAGTCAATCTACGATCCGACCAGGAAGAACTTCGACGTGCTAGGTCTCATATATGACTTGACCCCAGAGCAGGCTGCCAGCTGCGAGAAGTACTTCCATATAGATCGCAACCGAGTTGACCTCATTGCCACCATCGAGGACCGCGAGACCCTGGAAGTGCAGAGAATCGCCGTCTTCGCCTACGTCGACCTGCGCAATACCGCCGACGGCTTCCAGAAAGTCTTCCCCGACGATCCTACGAACCGATTATACAAGCTTTGGAAGTTGAACTTCGGGATGTTCGAGCAGGCAGGCATCAGTAAAGCTTACCTCAACGCTACCTTCAAACAGCTGTTAGGTAAATCAATCCCATACCCTGAGCCCATCTACGTCGCCCCGGCCCTTCTCTCGCAGTATCCAGATCATGTCTCTTCTTTTCCCGCCTCTGTCACTCATCCTTGTCTCGACGCCACCTCGAGCCAATCACCTCAGGCTCGTCACGTGGCCCAACCCCCCTTTCAAGGAAGCTCCCAAATCACTTGGCAGTACGTGGGAATCACGAAGTTCAAGGCATACTTCGAAGCCAGCATCGATGCATGCCCCAATGACACCGTCTGCCAGAAGCTGGAAGATCAATACAATGCAGGACTGAAGAGCTACCGTGAGCATCAGGAGCAGCTGCTGGCGCAGCGTCAGGAGAGGTTGAAGAAGCAGCGGGTAGAGGAGCAGTGGTCAGACGAAGGGGAGTGTACAACAGATGAAGAGGAACAACTCAAAGATGAAGAAGAGCAGCTTATAGAGCAAGGGGAGCAGCTTACGCATGAAGATGAGTGGCTCACAGAGGAATGGCTCACAGAGGAAGGGGGCCAGCTCATAGATGATGAAGATCTTTTGACAGAGGAATGGGAGCAGCTCACAGATGATGAAGACCTTTTGACAGAAAAAGGAGAGCAGCTCACACATGGAGAACGGGAGTGTATGACAGATGAAGAGGGGCAACTCACAGACAAAGGGGAGCAGCTCATAGATGATGAAGAGCTTTTAACAGAGGAAGATGAGTTATCAACAGATGAAGAGGAGCTGCTAATAAAGGAGGAGGAGCGGCTGTCAGAGGAAGAGGAGCAGCTAACAGAGGAAGATGAGTTGTCAACAGATGAAGAGGAGCTGTTAATAAAGGAGGTGGAGGAGTGGCTGTCAGAGGAAGAGGAGCAGCTAACAGAGGAAGAGAAACAGCGTGCAAAGGAAAAGAAGAAGTTGGAAAATGATCAAAAGCTCCGGGAAATCTGGGCAGGACTTGTGAAGCGGGTACGTGAGCAGAATGGGGATAATGCTGCTGCAAAGGGAGAAGCTCGAGGCCGTACTCACCCTGCCAAGTTCAATTCTGCCAGAAAGTCACTATCTCTTGACAGTCTTCCAGTCATGGGAGAATTCTCTGCTCCTCGGTCTCGTTTTTCAGGCCAAGCACGCCCTCAAGTATACCCTCCTCAATCTCAAGATCCTCACGCCCAACAACCAAGACGCACGGAACCTAGCTTGCAGGCTCCTAACGCTCAACTTCCTCAAGTCCAGAAAGGCCGAACTCAAGTCCAGCAACCTGGCTCTCAAATTCAGCAAATTCGCCCTCAAGTCCAGCAAACTCGTGTTCAGCAGCCTCAACATTCCACCGGTGGCCAGAATCCTGCTCAGCGGATACCGGCCGGTCCACAGAGTCAACACCCTCTCGCACCACAACCCATCAGTCACGTCCAGGCTCCTCCTCGGCAACTAACACCAGCCGATCTACCAGGTCCATGCCATTACTCTGAACCTATAGGCGGCGGCTCAGGGGTCTTTCGGCGAGTACCAGCCGGTGAACAGGGTCAATACGCTCAAACTGGTCCACAAGGTCAACATATCCTTTCAAGACCCCCTCAATCTACAAACGGCGGCCAGGATTCTGCCCAGCAAGTACCACCCAACCCACAAGGTCAACATGCTCAACCCACAAACGGCGAACGGGTTGCCTTCCAGCAATTATTAGCCAGCGTACAAGGTCAAAGAACTCCTGCAGGATTCCCTCAATCTACAAACGGTAGCCAGAACCCTGCCCAGCGATTACCAGCCAACCTACAAGGTCAATACGCTCAACCCACAAACCGCGATCGGGATGCTTTCCAGCAATTACTAGCCAGTGTACGAGCTCAAAACATTGGAAAACCCCTCCCGCAACCTCTCCAACCTACAAATGCTGGCCAGAGTCCCGCTCAGCAACTACTAGCCAGACCACAGCAGTGGCATTACTCCGCTCAACCCATAAACGGCAGCCAACTTCCCACGTCTCGCCCATCACAAGCCAACCTACCCGGTCCTCAATCAATGAACGGCCTCCAGAGCTCCACCCAGCGATCAGGGGTCGGTCTACAAGGTCCAGCACTTCACTCACCATTCCTAAACCCATACGCGGGCTTGAGCAACCCTACTCGAAACCCACAAGCTGCAACAGCCCGCCTGCAAGCCTCGCAACCTCACACTCGCAACCCGCTCCACTCAGACAGCTTCTACAACGACGCGCAACCGTCGAGTGTTCTTCAACAACCTCGTCCCCAACAACCTCGTCCACAACAACCTCACGCAGCTTCCACCCCATCTCCCGGCCGACAAGCCCCTAGAGGTTCCGCCCCCCAACCCGAGGACGAATCTCGGCGCTAGATCTAGAAAGCCACACAACACACACACAGTAGTAGTCGCTCCATGACAGGGCCACACACGCACTACCCAATGGGTGGTTTCGGCGCATTGGAGCCGGAGCCTCGGAGAGAGAAGAAGAACGGAGAGCAGCTCAGCTCAGCTCTCACCTCACCTCACCACAACCCTTCTTTTCTCATCGTTCTTGGTTCGGAAGGGTTCGTTATTTGGTCCACAGTACTCATCACCCAGCGAGAGGCTAGACGTATCACGCATCAGACAGGATCTTTCCACGTGAAGGGGAGTGGAGAAGAGGATCCCGGAACTATTCAGAGAATTGGTGCCTTGGTGCTTTGGGTGTTTGGAGAGAAGGAGTTTTCGTGTATCTTTGGCATGCAGCGCGGCGTTTGGGATTTTTTTTTGTGCTTGGAGAGAGAGGAGAGAATTCGTGGC